AACAATTTGGACCATAAATAATATTGATATGTTCATACAATATAAAATTTAGATAAAAATATACTCAGTGACATTAGAAGTGTTACACTCAGAAAAAATAATTTTTTCAACTTTTTGGCAACAAACTGACTATATTTAGACCATGCTATGGCAACAAAGTCAACGTTTTATATTTGTTTTTGTATACCTTTGTTAAAATGTTATCTCTTAGTTTTCGTGAAGAAAGAAGTTTCTGAGAGCTGAGTAGTACAGTTATTGCCTTTCATTTACTAGTGTTAAGCATAACAAAAAACCTCGAGTCCGAAGACGTACAAATTATCACCATGTTAGCGACTTTGACAGGGGTAGAATTATGGCCTATCGATATGTTGGTTTGTCCTATCGTGACATTGGCCGCCGTGTTAATTGTACTGCAATGACGGTAACGTGTGTGTGTCGTGTGTAGATAGAAAAAGGTCGAGGGACATAAAGACGGTCAACTGGTCCACCGAGGTGTACCTCAGAGCGTCAAGATAGGCGCTTCAGATAACTAGCCCCACGCGACCGTTTTCCTACTACGCGTCAGATCACTGACCACTGGTTTGGAGAAGAAGGTAGACCTGTTGACTATGCGTACACTGTATCGCCACATTCGAACTTTTGGACTGTTTTCATACAGTCCACAGTTAGTTGTTCCTCTGACTGCGGACTACTGTCGTCAACGTTTGACCTGGAGCAGAGAACGGCAACACTGTGATGCTGAATGGCATAATGTCATCTTCAGCGACGAATCGCTGTCTAGGTACGCACGATGCTCGTAGAAGGATAAAACGCTGCCGTGGAGAAGAGCGTGATATTGGATTTGCTATTGAGAGGCATGTACACAGGACTGTTGGAGTAATGGCTTGAGAGGCTATTGCCTATGGTAGCGGATCACCTCTTCTTTTTGTTCAAGGCAATTTTTTTTCTTATTACTTGTCAATAAAATTTGGTGATAATGTTATTGTTTCATTCATTGATATAAGACTACTACCTCATTGCCAAGAAATCAAGTTGAAGAAATTATTTTTTCTTGGTGTAACACTTTTAAGTCAGTGAGTTTATATTCTCAACTATAGATTTTTTATTCTCAAAATTTCAAACAACTGTAGGATATATGGATCATTTTATAATGGCCTGTGTTATTGATGCTGCTGCTTTAACAGATAAGTTTTTACTTATTTGTCAAACAAAAAACAGCAAAAATATGTTAATAATACAAGGCGTTTTAAAATCTTTCATATATCATTATTTCTCTTTCAGAGACCTAAAGTTATGTATCCCATTTTGTAAGAATGCCTTGCTGAATATAATCAACACATGTATTTTGGGGGGATTATTTCCAGAAATATGGAAGAAAGCTATTGTTAAACCCTTACCAAAAATAGCAGAACCTAAAGAATTTACAGACTTGAGGCCTATTAGCATATTACCCGCTACATCAAAAATATTAGAAAGGCATATTTATTATCAAATTAGATTTTTTTGTGACACAAACGATATCATACCCGATAGTCAATCCGGTTTTAGGAAAAACTTTAGCACAAGTACATCATTAGTTAATATCTAGGTTGATATCAGACATCATCAAGAACAAAAAAAATAGTACGTACATGGTTCTTCTCGATTTCAGTAAAGCGTTCGAAACTCTGAATCATGAAATGTTACTAGCCAAGTTACATTACCAGGGGTTTTCGCAGAGCTCCGTAAATCTAATAAAAACATACTTAAGCAACCGTTCAAACTGTGTTATGTTAGCAAATGATTCCGCTATTTACAAAACCGATTTTAAACCTATACAAAGAGGAGTTCTTCAAGGGTAAATTTTATTTCCTTTGCTATTTTCAATCTACATATCTGACATGGTCAAATCGGTAAAATTCGCAAAGATAAAACAATAACCAGTTGACTCACAAATATATCTCCCTTTCAATAAAACCACAATCCATATTGCACAACAACAACTCTCCAAAGTATTGACAGATTTGCAAAGCATCACAATCTTAAACTAAACCCCTCAAAATCGCAAGTAATGGTTATGAATGAAAACAGTAATGAAAGAGAACATTTTGAACAAAATTTAGTAATTTCTATTAACAATGACGGAATCCCAATGGTTCAGGAGACAAAAAATCTAAGCATTATATTTGATAGCTCGCTTGGCTTCGGAAGTCATATAAAAAACAGAACAAATTTAGCTTACGTGCGACTAAGAAATATAAACAAATTAAAAAACATTTATCAGCCACACGAAAATATTATTTGTGTAATACCTTAATTTTATCACTTTTTGACTAAGGAGATGTCGTCTATGGTGATTCGCTATCGTCGCGAACAAAAAAATGCATACAAAAAGTTCAAAATAGACTCTTTATGAGGCGTTAATGCACAATCTGACAACCATGTGACATCCAGAAAAAAATGGCCTAAATCACCGTGTCGCCCTATGGAACAATGATATTTGACATACATTTCAATTTTTCCTATTACACGAAAAGCACATTTGTAAGACGATGTACAAGATCCTACAGAGTTTTCTAAATCCGCACCTGTCCTCATATCAGTTTGTTGAACTTCCGTAGGTGTTTTATATGCATGTACAACTCGCCAATTCATAAAAATAGCTTTGATGTTGGAGGATATAGCTCTCGACAAAACAGCCTACAACGTCCATGCACTATTCCAAATGGTTTTTTATAGTACTATAGGTTAAAATAAATAAAACTTTCGAAACTAGTTAGTTATGCTTATTACTCATTTTGTTGGAACCTTAGAAGTCATTTTGACTACTTCTTGCAAAGAGGCAATTTTCTTCTCCATTGGGAGCACTTTCCCAAAAATGTATTGTCCACGAAACACAATAAGAATAAGACAAAATGTATGACATTTAAATAATTTTGTAAATTTAAATAATGAATTGACACACAAAACAGACACATCCAAATTTTTTGGAGTGACCAATGATCATAAATTAGATTTTACTAATTAATCATGTAGAAAAATTGCTTTCGCAAATAGCAAATTCCTCTATTACAAGAACAATTAGCTGCAATGCAGAGAAAAGCACAGCCTTACGAAGTTACTTTGCCTTTTTTGAAATAAGATTGAGTTACAGCATTCCCTTTTGATTTGTCTATTCCCAAAATTGTATAAAAAAGTTCTTATTCTACAAAAACGAACTATTAGATGTATAACTAAAAAAATAATGACTGTCGTTTGATTCTTCATTTTGCAAACAGCAACTTTTATTTTTAAAAATAACTCTTAGTTTGAAAATTAAATATAAACTGCAATATCTGACGAAAACAAGATCTTAAATTAGTAGTACCTAAATCAACACTGGTAAATGACTCAATAATTTATAGTGGTGAAACATGTCTGCAATGAACTTAAAAAAACTTACATATATATATAGAGAGAGAGAGAGAGAGAAAATGATCATGCGGAGAAAGTTATATAACAAAAAGTAGGAAAATAATGGGCTAAATTCGCAAAAAGGAGGAAAGTGGATTCGAGCAGAAAATAGGATAGGTAACCCGAGCGATACATATTTCTGCTGGTTGGCTTCATCAGGCCCGAAATGAAAGCACATATGAAACTACGAAAGTAGATACACATGCCCACACATTCGGATACGGGTGTAACCTGAGGAAACGAAGATGGAGAGGGTAAAAACGAGACACGAAGTCCATAACAAGAGCCAACCTACACATTGTAGTATAAAATGGCTAGAAGACCTCGAATTTTCAAGCCCAAAGAAATAGTTTCCTAGCATCTCGCATTTATAAGCAACGGGGTACCGTGTGTGACATGCGACATTTTCCACACTATGAGAACGTTTTGAATCAAGTGAAGCAGTGGAATATAGTAAGAAATGTATAAATAATCCAAGTGTCACCAATGAGGCGAATCAGTTGGAGGTTCTATTAAAGTTGCAGGAAAATCCCCATTTAAGTACACGGTAAATTGGAGCAGAAACTGATATATGCAGAACTTCTGTCAAATCTGTACTCTTAGTGGCAATATGGAAATACCCCACTGTTTGTCTTTTGTTTCCATGGATGATGTGATTTTTTCCTTAATTTTGGTGTGTTGTTCTATTAAAAGCTCAATAACTCAAAATCTTCGTGATTTTATCTGAATCAAACCTTATACCAAAAAAAATCTCATAAAAAAAGCAATCCAAACTTGTACAAATATACAGGGTGATACATTTGAAATGTTTGAGAAAAAGGACAATTCACGTTTTTGACCACCCTGTACGAGCAAACATGAAAATTCGATAAAGTAACAAATAAGATAAAAGCTAAGGTGTGTAAGTGTTTTTTAATACAAAATTCAGCTCTCCAAATTTCAAAATGGCGGATTGAGGGATTGCCGAAGTGGACGGTTTTTCTGGACAAAACACCTTACGTCTCAGTAGCTAATTACCAAAACCCCATAGTATGTTATATCAATATTTTTCTTTTGAATTGGTTTATCCAAATATGCAATAAAATTTGAGGCATTTCATTTAAAAATCACAACTTTGATAAGTAGGTCAAAATTGGGACACCTTGTTTAATTGCCAATATTTTAGAAATGTGCCCTCAAATGTCATGTATAACATGCCATAAATAGACTTACCCAAAATGTATTTGTTTATGAGTAATATTCCATCCACACATGGATGGGCCACCCTGTATATAAATGAATCCCTATTTCGCGTGGTCACGCCATAACTTGAGAACGACTCTACCGATTTCATTCATCTTTGTTTTTTTTAAGTTTCCTGATGCTGTATAGAAGGTTCTTACGGAAAGAAAAATCAGGAAAATTGCGCAGAAAATTGGAAAATCATTGTAAACCTAATGACTATTTAAGCTACGCACGTTTGACATCTCAAGTACCAAAAGAGATTTATATTCTGCTCTGTAAATATTGCCATGGTTTTCTGAATCACTTGAGCTTCAAACTATTAACGTAATTAAAGGCTGAATTTTCTAGATGATTATCCAATTTGTAATTAAAGATAACATACCAGTCTTCTGCATATGCAAGAACACCATGACGTCATGAGAGTCCATATCAAAGGTGAAATCATCATTCAGCATGTCATCATAACTGAGTCCCACTTTGTTACTAATCCGCCTCAATGGTTTACCAAAGTTGTCTTCCATTCTCATGGTCTGACTGGGACTCAGGGCACACACCTGATGAAAATAAAAAAATAACAAAACATGTACAAAAGACCATATCAATTGCTTCTATTGTAACAAATATACAGTGGACCTCCGATAATCCGACAAACATTATGCAGGGTAGTGTCGGACTATCGATTTTGTCGGATTATAGAGCACTGCCTAAGACCCCCTATAGTCCGGAATTTTTTACAAAAGAGTACCTTGTAATCCGACAAATTACATATCCAATGGTAAGATATGTATACATATATGTTATGTATATGTACATACTTTGAAGTACAAATCATACATAGTTTATGTATGTCGAATTTAGTAAATTAAATAACAATAGATAGCTTACGTTTTATTATAAAATTAAGCATAAATGCACATACATATGTACCAAAATAATCAAGAATTATTAATCGAAATCATTAATGAATTTATCAAATTATGAAGCTTGGAAATATTCATCAATTTTTGTTTTGTTTAAGGTTGTTATAACGCGCGATCAGAGCTTTTTCCCTCAGTCTTCTCAAAAGAAAAAGATTGTTGTAGGATGTACCATTCTCTTCAGCCCATTGTAAACCCAGCTCAAAGGTGTTAATTGCATCTTGTGCTGTGACTTGTGGAGCAGTTGCAATCACGTCGTCGTTATTTTCCTGATTGTTTGTTGTATAATTAGAAACCTCTTTTATAATCTCTTCGGCAGACATTTCATGAAAACATTTTCCTCTTTATCCATTCCACGGCACCAGATTTCCAAATCTTCCGGACTTATCTGTGTTTCAGTAGCGGCTTGTTCTATAACTTCCGAAATAACACTGATTTATGGAACATTGCTAGGAGTAGTGACTATATCTGGCCATAACTTTTTCCAAGACGATTTAATAGTTGATGACGGTAACGCATTCCACGACTGACAAAGAGCAAAAACCAAGTCTTTCATACTGAATTAAAATTTTTTTTATTGGTTGGTCTTTTGATACGGCTCTCAGAAGTAGGTTTTTCTTATAGTCTTGCTTGACAAACTAAATGATATTCTGGTCCATTGGTTGAATGAGTGCAGTGCAATTTGGCGGAAGAAACATCGCAGTGATGCATTTATCCTCAGTTGTTAGTTCTTCTTCAGACGGATGACCGGGAGCGTTATCAAGAAGCAACAACACTTTTTGAGGAAAATTATGATCTTTTAACCATTTTCTAACTTCAGGTACGAAGCATTCACCAAACCACTTTTTGAAAAGGTCTTTTGTCATCCATGCACTTTTTTGTCCATAATAGTGTACAGGTAAATCAATGTTTTTGAATGCCCGTGGTTTATTAGATTTCCCAATGACCATTATCTTAAGCGCGTGTGTGCCGGCAGCGTTAGCACATGATAGTATGGTTACACGCTTTATTTACTTTTCGTCCAGGTACGGATTTTTCGTTACAAGAAACGAAAGTTTTGTTAGGCATTACACGCCAAAAAAGCCCCGATTCGTCATCTGCATTGTACACCTGTGACGGGTCAAGATTTAAATTGTTCACCTTTTGCAAAAATCTTAATTTAAAGGGCTCTATGCAGGTGGCATCGTTAGAAAGTTTCTCTCCTGTAATAGTCATTAAACGTATGCCATGACGACTTTTAAAACATTCTAGCCATCCTTTGCTGGCCACAAAATCATCTTTTTTTGTTATTATAAAAAAACTTAGCTTCCATGGCCAACATGGGTTAGGAAATTGGTGCATGAAGAAACCACATGTACAAAGCTTCTCCCACTTCTGGATGTTCAGCTTTCTTAAGTGTTTGTCTCTTGCCTGGCCCGCAGTCAGTAGTCGACCCGAACTTCTTGCTCTTCTCGTGGTTTCTTCTAATGTCATAAATTGTAGATCGGCCCACGCCATATTCACTTGCTAAACTACTGAAAGTTTCATTGCGGTCAAAAATATCTCATTTTTCTTTAATTGTCAATGTTTTGTGCTTTCGCTTCTGAGTTTGTGATGATATTACTAGGTACTATACTTAATATACAATGAATAAATAGTAAACAATGAACGCACGCTAGGCCGTACTGCTATCACCAGTAGTCAAATTCAAACTAAGTAAAACAAAGCTTACGCGTCGAGCACGGTAGCGGTGGCGCGTACAAGTCCCCATATCAGCACAGGACACATAGTTCTGACAGATCCGTCAACGCCACGTAGTCGGAGCGGTGTTTTATTTGGTTTTTTGTATGCTATACTTTCATTTTGTACTTGCTAACACCACAAACAAGTTTTACCAGATTTATACTTGATTCATTATTGCCAAAAATGTAGAGTAACACAAAAATGTCACTTGCTGATCACCTGTCCAGCTTAGTAGACATCAAAGCCTGATGAATACTTGTGAAATAAGGTATACTTAACCATGTCAAAATTACTGCTACCTAAAGCTTAGTCTGAAGAAAAATAATAAGTAATAGAAAAAATGTTATTGCCTAGTCGGCCTTAGTACCAATCCTAATAGAATTTAATGCGAGAGAAAAAAAATTGAAATAGAAAAAATTAAGCATTTAATAAATAATCTTATAGGTTTTTTTAAAATAGTCAAATGAATATTAATCAAGTTCACTGCATTGTATGTGAAAGAGCATTGAAATATAACTGTCTAGTATTGTGGCAATGTGAGGAGGTGGTTATTAGGCATATTCAAATTCTGAATCAAGTTACATTGTTTATATAGCAGTGGCATGTATTTTGAATTTTTTCCAGCCTGTATTTTGTTATTTCATCTGGATAGGGATAATAAGCAATGTTGCAGTGTACAGGGTTTAGGCGCTCATGTATAAACAAAAATAATCTTTCACTAATATTGTGTATTACAATATATATTTAGAGCTTTAACTTACCTTGTCCGGGCAATAATAGCCCAATCCAAATATGCCAAAGATACACATACCCAATACGAGTAAACATGCTTGTTTCAGCCTGGACGATCTGGATTCCATTTGCCTGCTATCTCGACCAGAAGCATTAGGAAGCAAATATGCGATATCACTATCAAGGACCTGAACTGAGACGCTCTTCAAACTCTTCATTATTCAAGCCATCGAAAAACAGCTGCGATTTTGAAATACACTATTCGTCATTAGTTATGAAGGCTGCTAGGCTAATAACACAGAAAGTTGTATTTTTTGTTTACTTCATGATGAATTAATACGAAAGAAAAACGGTAGTTTCGCGCTGTACCGTATCTTTTACTACACAAGACACAATTCCTGCTGTATCACCATTCTAACACCAACATTTATGTTTATGCATTAATAAGCATTGAAATTCAACCACAACATAACTGAATACAAATTGAGGTAAATGTAAAAACAAGGATTAAAAATGGATTGGAACATGAAACTCCATTGGACGTTTGACAGCTTTGTCATTTCACCCATGACATTTGGGTTTGACAATTATGACATAAGGGGAATTTCTGAGGAGAAACCATTGCTACCCATAAATCGGTATGCCAACGAATTCGACAGGGGTGTTACATAACTTTTAAAGCTACATTATGACCGATTTTTTTTGACATGATGTAGGTTTTGATGACATTATATACATCTTCCTACAAGGTGTCAACTAGGAACTAGCTGTCGTTCACCTCATGCTCACTACTTATAGCAGGCGCGAAATGAACTATTTGCACAGTACCATCTAACTAGTCAACAAGTAGACATTTTATCGGTTTTTTGACGTTATATAGGTTTTTTACGTAATAACCCTGCCGATATCGAAAGGTTTTTGTTTCTTTATCATCCTTAGAACAAATAATTCTATCAGAGTATTGACAATATCAATTAAAAACTGATTCGTCAGTGCTACCAATCGCTAATTGTATTGAGACTACATGGATGTAAGTGGCGAACCGGAATGTATTTGTAATGAGACTGCATGGATGAAAGTGGCGGTTAGAAATACGCCTCTCTACAATTAATCAATGGTTGTGATTCTGATAAATTTATTTAGCTAGGTCAAGGAACAAAATCGGCGAAAAGTGTAATTTCAGTCAGTTGCAATAGTTAGCAGTGTTTCCCAACCTATCTATTTTCGGTATTTTCACCGAAATGCGACATTTAACGAAATGCCCAAGTCATTTTCCAGGATTTTTTCAAGTAATTTTGATATTTCCTGTTTTTTTTTTACCGAAAAAGAACTAGAACCAAAAATAAGCCTCAAAAAATAAATTGTATGTCGTACTCTGTGTCATTTTCAGCTCCATACCAATCATACGTGTGCATACACTAAAGTTCGTTTCGTCAGTCATTCATCCAATTGCAGAACACCTCTATGGCCTCCTGATTTTGATAGTTTTCTACTGTGCCGTGTCAGCGCTTTATTTTGAGATTGTGTTACAAATATATATTTTTTGCATGAAACTGTTCATGTTTTTGATTTATATCGTCTGTTATACAGCCTGAAATTTACTACAATACGAGAGCGCCGACGCTGACACTGAACAGTAGAAATATAGAAATACCCCAGCCTTTCTGAAGGAGAGAAGATACTATGAAAATCAAGGAGGCTATAAAGGCGTCCTACAATTGTACGAACGACTGACGATACCGCGCGTAAATATTAATCAGATCCAAGCGAATAACCAAAACTTCTATAATTTGGTTTGAGATGACACACGAGTTGCTGACGTCAGGTACACGAATCTCTTGAACGCGTTGGTTTTAACCGAGGTTTTGTTGCACGTTGTTTATTTCAGAAAAGTGGGTGTATAATTTCTGATTTATTTTTATTATTAGATAATAATCGGTGCTTTCGTCTACAAAGGTGTATAGGAAGTTTAAAAAAAGAAACCTTTCTTAATATTAATGGGAGAAATGTTTTTTTTTATCAGAAAAATTTTTTAATGATGGAACAATGGCTTTGTAGCTATGATAACTTTCAATTCTCTAAATTCTTCCGCATGTCAAAGAAAACATTTATTGATTCAGCAGAAATGATGAAAAAAGAAATGGGCAAAACGGTATACAGGTGGATATCATCTAGTGAGTTTATTTGGCCATATTTTGATATTCTTGTGGTATATGGCTACACAGGATACTTTGTTAAGCATAGGAACTACATTTAAAGTGTCCCCAACAACCGTAATGAGTATAACTAATAAGGCGCTCCACTTTATGAAGTCAGCCTGTATCATTTTTCTCAAAAATGAAGCTGAAGTACAATAACAATAATGAAATTCAAGCGGATAACCAAATGGAAATGGTATTTACCATTTTGGGTTGGTATTTACCAATCCGTTCAAGCGAGTGTAGTTATCAGTTTGGTTATAAGATCCGTGACGTCACGAATCAGCTGTTATATGTCATAGTTATCACCGCAAAATTGTGGTATTTACCCAACTCAAGAGTAGTTTTATATTTCTGGTTATTATTTGAAATGTGACAAGTTAGAATTTTGTCGGGTAGTGGATATTGTTATTGTACTTCAGCTTCATTTTTGAGAAAAATGATACAGGCTGACTTCAGTTTTACCATAAAGTGGAACACCTTATTAGTTATACTCATTACGGTTGTTGGGGGACACTTTAAATGTAGTTCCTATGCTTAACAACGTATCCTGTGTAGCCATATACCACAAGAATATTAAAATATGGCCATATAAACTCACTAGATGATATCCACCTGTATACGGTTTTGCTTTCTGCTGAATCAATAAATGTTTTCTTTGACATGCGGAAAATTGTAGAGACTTGAAAGTTATCATAGCTACAAAGCCATGGTTCCATCATTAAAAAAAATCTGAAAAAAACATTTCTCCCATGAATATTATGAAAGGTTTCTTATTTAAACTTTCCATATCCAGTGGTAGACGAAAAAGCACCGATTATTAAGTGATAATAAAAATAATCAGAGATTATATACCCGCTTTTCTAAAATAAACAGCTTACAACAAAACTGCGGTTAAAACCAACGCGTTCAAGCGATTCGTGTAACTGACGTCATCAACCCGTGTGTCATCTTGAACCATATTATAACCCCGACACATAACACAGAAATTTTGTTTATTCGCTTGGATTTGATTAATATCCAATACCCGGCAAAATTCTAACTTGTCACATTTCAAATAATAACCAGAAATATAAAACTACTCTTGAGTTGGGTAAATACCACAATTTTGCGGTGATAACTATGACATATAACAGCTGATTCGTGACGTCACGGATCTTATAACCAAACTGATAACTATAGTCAACGCCAAACAAAGTGGCGTGCACGTCATCAAGGTGGGTGTGTTGAAAAATTTACATTGTTGCCAAACTTTTTGTAAAATAATAAAATTTATTATTTACATATCTAGGTTTATAAGCAATATTAACCTCAAATGAGAACAAAAATAATAGTATAATAAAATTATAGATCTGTACTTGCATAATCATTAAGTATGACAATTATTGATCAGATGACACTATGAAACTACCATATTTAATTGATAGCTTAAAGGTACTGAATAAAAATCCAAATGGGGTCCTCCAAATTTTATGCATGGTATTTATTTTACAGAATTCATACAGAAAAATGCATTCTAAAATTAGGTAAGCTACTGGTGTAAGCTTTTTCTGTACAATAAAGTTAGTCGGAGTTTCTTTCTTCAGCGCTGTCTGAATCTGAATCTTCATCACTCTCAAAGTTGATTATTAAAGGTTCGATGTCTGGTCGATCAAAAATTCGTTCTCTTTCATACCATTTAAAAATTTCTTGCTCAGTATGTCGAACACTATTTTTCCACATGTCTGGGGTAACCGTTTGTAGAGCCTCGTTCCACATATCCAAACAGTCTTTTTCACTGTTACCATCTCTACCAATATGTCTGTTATAGTAACCTTTTGCTATGCCCCAAATTAATTCAATAGGGTTAAATATACAATGGTAAGGAGGCAGACGAAGAACTTTGTGCCCATGTTGTTCCGCCAATTCATCAATCACGTATATTTTTGGTGGTTTGTTTCTAAAAAAGCAGTTATTTTAAGAATAGGAATAAACAAAAGAAATATAAACTGTCGACCAAAATATATATGTATAATTAAGAAGCATTATGTACCGAGCAACAATACTCAATAGCTCTGTTTTAAACATTGTGTTTAAAAATGGTATGTTTTGATTTGTCAACCAGTCTTGGATATTTTTTTTTGTCCATGCATTGTTGGGCACTTTGTTCAATATCATGCTGTGATAAGGGGCGTTATCCAGTATAATCATAGATGGACTCTCCAATTTTTCTAATAACTGATGTTGAAACCATTTCAAAAAATTGTCCTGGTTCATCTCTCCATGGTAATCGCTCAATTTTGTTTTCACTACCCTCAATAAACCCATTTTCATTTCCAGCATGTAATATAATGTATCTAAAATATATTAGTTTTAAATTTTATAGTGCAAATTGTGTAAAAGTACATACCTTTTACCATCTGTTTTAATAGCTTTCACGCTTTTTTGGTTTCCATTTTGCCAAGAGCGACCTATGGTCCCATTTTGAAATATCCAAGTTTCATCGAGGAAGACAAACTGGTATAAGGCCTCAACCTTGGCTTGATTGTATTGCCTTAGAAATTCCACCCTTTTCAAAGCTATACTTGGTAGTTCCATGAGCCCTCGTCGCGGATTGTCCTTAAGCCACTTAAATCCAAGATCTCTAAGCAACCGCCTTAAAGACGTGGCACTACCATCAAATAATGCCCTATCTCTTAATCGAGACCATAAAGTTTGTATCGTAACTTGTTCTTCTGAAACCATGTGTAATATGACATTATAATTTAGTTAACAAATTAATGCAAATTTCTGATAAGTTATTATAATAAGATCTTACTTTTGTGATACATATTATAGATCACTTCTCGAATGGCACTTGTATCCAATGTCGCTGTGTTGGTTACACGTTTAATATAAAAATAAAATAAAACTGTCCTTAAACTAATTTTTAAAGCAGCAGCAACACGCTACAAAAAATGAAATAAAATTTCACTATTATTAATATACATTACATATAATTATTAGTAACCTACCTCTTGAACAGCATTTAAAGGCAACAAAGGCCCGTTGTTGTCCCTTTCTTGCTCAAAGTAGTGCATTAACGAGGCCACGAGTTCCTTACACCGACTATTTAACTGTTTGGGCATCTTTATATACCAAAATTGCCTTTATCTACTCGTAAAATGAATAATTTTGTTTTGAAACAAACAGTTGTTGATTTACAGTATGCGAGGCCAAAGGATTTATAAAGATTTGAAATGCCACAAATTGATTCAGTGTCAAAATTAATACAAATGTCAGTTCCCAGTTTAAATAAGTTTCAAGGTGACAATGTGTCAACGCTGCGAAATCGGTTTAGTGCGTTTACATGTCG